TTGTGTGGCATTGATGTTAAATTTTATTTTAGATCACTCCAACGTTGCTTTCTTGGTACAACTATACTACAGAGTCTAGTCTTTCAGGGCCATATTCCCCATGTAGAGCGCATCTATTCATTCTCTGTTCTGCTGCTTTACAGACCACTTTCCCAGTCCAGATGCTCAGATTTCAATGCTCTAGAGAAGAAACCGCTCACATGTCTTTCATCAGGTGGACATCATATTCTTTGCCATTACATCCAGAAGACTTGGCAGTAGATCCATTTTTTGAGTTCCCCTGAGATATTCCTGTCTCAAAATTAGATAGTTTAGTGATGAGCTTGGTGTGCTGGACCACTTTTTAAGAGAATGTCCATACATCCTCCGGATGCCAGTATCTCTACAACTCTCTACAAGTACCTGAAAGGAGGTTGTGACGAGGTGGGAGCTGGCTTCCACTTGCACGTAACCAGCGATAGGACTCAAGGAAATGGCTTCAAGTTGCACCAGGGGAGGTTCAGGTTGGATATTATGAAAAATTCCTTCACTGAAAGAGTAGTCAGGTGCTGAAACACACTTCCTAGGGAGGTGGATCAGTCACTGTCCCTGGAGGTGGACAGCTGGACTGGATGATACTGAAGGTCTTTTCCAACCTTGGTAATACTATGGTTCTACAATCTCCATGTTATGAGAATCTTAACATAAACCCTAAAAAAAAAAAATGAAATGATGTATCTATAAGAGTTTTAAGTTTATATACATACATATACTGGGTCAGTTGTAGAACCTAACACTTTCCTTTAAGGTATAAAAATGTTGTAGTCATAACATAAAGACTTGATTTGTAGATACAGAGAAAAATTAGTCTCTGTAGAAGCCTGTAAAGATGTCTACTAGTAGGAAGGAAGAAGATAAAGCAGACAGCAAAGGACAGATAGCACAGAGAAACTGAAAACAGCAACAAAAAAAATGTATGTAAGATAATGTGAGTACAGGAATGAATTAGCTTAGGAAAGAAGGATAAAGTCTTATATTTGAAGTCATATAATCAAAACACTACAATTAATATATTGGATTCAGTCCATAGAAAACTAAGTTGGCAAGCTTAAATGATAGTGCAGTACTCTTGAAATAAGAAAGTTTGATGATGGAAGGAAACTATGGGGAACTTAAAGCACAACACTACAAGGGGTAGCTCTGGGCAGCCAGATCAGAAGCCTGACATGCTCAGCATGGGTGCCAGCTCCCAGCATCTGCTCAGATTTTTGTCAGAGAAGATTTGTGACAATGTCCTTGTTGCCACAGCATCAAATACGCAAGGACTGCTGAAAGAAACTATATTCACCTTGAGTTAAATGTTATTGGTACCAATACTATTCTACAGTACAGCACAAAGTTATCACTTAGTGACCAAAATTAGTTGTTTTTACAAAGAAACTCTAAGTTTCTTTGTTTTAGCCATTTCCACAATATTGATTTTTTTTTTTTTTTTTCATTTGCAATCTGATAATTTTGGTCTCATTATTTTAGCAAGTAGTATGAAAGGAGAGACACAGATTTAAAATACTACTCTATATACAGTTAGAAAAATGTTACAGCAAATATTGGTATTTTCAGATGTGGATTTTCATAAAAACAAAGCACGGTCCTACTAAACAGCAAAACTCCATCTGCTTCAAGGCAAGCCAGCATTTCACCTCACGAATTCAGCAGCTGGATTCTTTTCCTGTGTACATATATAGGAATAAACTTTTGTCTATATGATACTCAGGGAAAAAGAATGTGTTCTGAATGCTTGCGTTCAAATATTTTGCATGACTGTTCACATCATAAGTGCTCATGCAGTCAGCTTAAACATTAGTGGGCTTAGCAAGAAAGCAGATGGACCTACATACCAAAGCACAAATTCTGAACAAAAGTATATTTGAATAAATTACACACAGAATAATTTAATGATTAGCAACTTATCTGCCAATAAAGAAAGAGCACTGAATGTAATCATTCTTTTTTTTTTTTTCCTACTACAGAGTTCTTATTAAAATAATGTCACTTTCACTAAACTCCAAACTGTATCATGTCCACAAAAAGCCTCCAAGACTACATATGCAAAAGCAACAAAATCATGTGAGAAAGGAAAAATGCTTAGGAAAAACAGATCTGATGTTTGCAGCTGTATTCCTAGCCAACCCTGGCAATGAAGTTGTGCGAGAAAGCCAACACAAGTGTCAAAAGTCTCAAACAATCAGGTGCAGTGAGACTGAAGGCCATAGAGGAAACAGCTGGGTGGCAATGACATACTGTATTGACATATATAACACAAATTTATCTTGGGGTCCTTAGCACTTATAGATAGCAAGAGGATGTGTCAGAGAGCGTGTCAATCCAACTGCCTTTCAGACACAAAGCTGGTGATCCACAGAGCAGGATGTGTAAAATGCAGAAGAAAGCAAAGCTAAAGCCTGCAATCCAGCAGACAAGGGCAAACGTTAACCAGATGATTAATTCATAAGCTCCACCATCTTCTGCAGATAGATATTCATCATCTTACCCTCAAAAAACAGTGCTGTTTTATACCCAGTGATATAACATAAGCATACAAGCAGTATACTATAGAAGAAGATTATACTCTCATATAGAAACTCTGGCTAGGTATTTACAACATTTTGACTTAAAGACCTTTTATCTGATCACTGTTGTAATGGAAATGCTCCTAAAGTACACCATTGTATACTATAGAACCATGTAGGAATGTCCTTGCTAACCAACAAAAAAAATCAAAGGACTATGGGCTCTTACAAATAGTCAAGTTTTAGAACACTGATATGTGGAATCTGCATCCACGCAACAAACCTGAAGTGACCTTCATCCTAACAACTCATTCAAATTTGTGCTTGAACTACTTAGATATTTTAGACATGCTCCTAAGGAGACCAGGCAATGGGAAACAGGAGGCAGGAATCCACAGCACTGATGAATGAAAATATCATTCAGTAATTTAGGATGATATTCAAGTTTATTAGTGACAAAAGCCTAAAATCAACTTGATCATAGCCACTCACTTTATTATGCAAATTCTGTTGCCAAAATGCTTCATGAAATTAACTCAATAAGTGAATAAAAGAACATTCTTCAAAAAAATGTACTTGGGAAAAAACTGAACAAGGACATCCACCAAGCTTTGCTGGAAATGTCAAGACTTTATAAAAGGGAATACAAAAAAGCTGCAGAAGTTAGTCAACCCATCTATAAATCTAGGCAGACAGGGGAGGTTTTCAGACCAGCATGTGCATAAACCATCTTTAAGGGTCATATTCTAAATGTGCTCAGCTGCCTCCATTGAGAAGAGAGAGATGGATCTCACACCTAGCAGGACTTTTTTTTTTCCAAATAACAGCCTCTAAGTGCAAAAGCATAGTCAAACCAAAGAAACCTGAAATTCTCAAACTCAGGTTTGAGAACCACTTGGGTCCACACAGTCTGTTACTTTACTCACCAGTACTTCAGCAGTACTCAGGACCAGATGCCATGGAAGTAAATGCGGATCACCAGAGGAACTGACTCCCATTAAGTCTCATGCTAATCACTAATAGATCCTAAGCTGTTTAAATACTGAAACAAGATGTTCTACCTATCTCTACAATTTTTTCAAAGAATCAGGAAATACAGTTCTCAGCAGGCAATGCTATCTTTTTTTTCCCCTGAACATAGTACTTGAAAATCTAAAATACTTTTCATGCAATACTCACTAAAGAACACCATCAAAGAGAAAACAGAAGGAATCTTTTCCATTAAAGATAAATGAGTAAGCAGGAATTACATTGTGCTGAAAAGTTTTATTCTTATCTTCATGTTGCAGTCATGTCATAGAAAAGGATTGTTCATCATTTCTGGAAATCAAGAAATGAACAGTCTAGTCTCTGTATATTGGACATCTTTGATATCATCAAAACATCATTTGAAAGGCAGGGAATAAAGTGACAAAGAGAACTCCAAGAGAAAAATTAAGTGACATGACCAAAATCCCGTGGGAAAATGTGGCAGGGATTAAAAAGGAAACCAAATGTTCAGAATCCCAACCCTTTGCTTCACCACAAAACCAACTTTCTTCTTGAATACTGAATTAACTCAGTAACTAAAAACAAGGGAAAACCAAGTACATACATTACATCTATCTTACTACTGTAACAGCTCTGATTACACTCAAGTGTCCTTAAATTAAATATGAAGCAACTACAAATACATGTTTAATCACAGTTTGGTCATCAGTTCCACAAACCAAAAGTACTAGGAAAGCATGAGTGGTTTTTTAAATTATCAAGCAAGAATCCAAAAGTACTCCTTTACAAAAGAAAAACTATATGAGCAGTCTAAAAATGCTAAGGAATCTTAATTAAGAAAAACTTCTTAAAAAAATTTTAATCACAATGAATCAGAGCTAGATGAAGTCTAGGAAGAAGTTCTGTGCAGAAGCGAAAAAACACAGGTACTTTTCACTGGGAAGCTGCTATTCAGGTTCTGCAGCAAGAATATCCAGATCATTTGAAAAGTGAAAAGAAAATCAATTAGTCTTTCTGAAGGAGTCTCCCTGTGGGCATACGTGTGGGTGTGAGATCTCTTTATAAATTTCATAATATCATGTGAAGCAGCCAAGATTTATTATTATTATTATTATTATTTTTTTTTTTTTTTAAGTGCAGTCATGTCATTGCTCTGTTTATGGGATGCTGGGACGATTTTTTTCTACTTGTGATTCTACTGATCTTTATCAGATTGTTCTGTGAAATTTATTCTATCATTAACTTAACATTAATATTTCAAAAACAGAATATTTATTCAAATGACAGCACTGAGCAAACAAAATTTACAAGGCTGCTATATAAGTTCACTGCTGACAGCAAAAGTCTATCTTTTACCCAATCACACCAGAGCTGTGCAGGCAGTCAGTTTCTATCAGACTTTGCCCAAGCAAATTAACATTTTTTGAGAATTCAGATGTGCAGGAAAAGTTTCCAACTAACCTTGCTATCTTCCAGCTCCTGGGTTTTCCCTTGAAGCGCTCTCCTCTCTCCAAAATCACAGGTTGACTTTAAGGTGAGCTGACAAGACAGCATCGAGCTCTCTGCCCCGGTAAGCTCCAAGGACTTTGGTGAGTAGTGCTGCGTGCCGGTGGGGCCAAGGTTTGGTATCGGGAGGGCAGTATGAACAGGCTTTGACCCTACGGCTGGCTGTCTTAGCTTGGAGGCAACCCCAAGCACAGGCATGGCTTCTCTAAAAGTATCTTCTTTCTGCCAAAGAAAATGCTCCTGACCTCAGTCTGGTAGACTCCAGATTCAGCAATTCCGAACAAATACTTTAAACAAAAGTAGCAGTCATCTTTGCAAAAAGTCCTTAAAACAATAGTATTATGAGTTTCACAAGGAAGCAAAACTTCTCCTTCATCTCTGCCTTCTCCCTCACAGACACTCACACGCGCTGCTCAGTGAGTCAGTGACTCTGTAAGACTAAACACTCCTTTGGGGCGTGAACTTTTCTTGAAGGTAACTGCCACAAAGCTGCCTGCCTGGGATTAAAGAACTCGTAAATTTGCTTTCTCTTCTTCCTACAGCATTCCAGGTCTGCACGTTAAGTGAATGAAGGACGGGAGAGAAGGAGGCAGAGAGGAGATGAAATCTCCCTGTACTCCAACTGTCAAAACAGCTCTGAGACCACAACACTGGAAGCAGAGACCTCTTCCTGACTGCATAAATAACCAGCCCACAGCTTAAAAAAAAAAAAAAGCAAGCCTCTTTTTTTCTGATGAAAAAAAAAAAAAGACCTGAGCGGTGGCCAAAGCAAACAGCTGTTGGAAGAGTTTTTATCCCGGAAATAATCTCAGCAATGAAGCTGTTTGTCTGATTCCTGGCTATTTTTCACTGCTGACAACCATGAGCTAGAGTGTTTCATTCCCTGTTCCTCCCGTGAAATCAGGTTAAAATCGTGCAAGAGCATGGCTAGGAACAGACGCTGAATCACAGTGTGGGGAACGTCTGCCTGTGCTATGAAAAATCCATACAAAAACACAGAGCAGGATATAGGAAAATCACGAGCATTGTTAGGAGATTTAGTCAATACAGCTTTTCAGGGCACTTTTTTTTCTTCCTTTCTCGGTGGTGGTACTAACGTCATCTACTCAGTTTTAACACTTCCCTTTCTAAAAGCATTTAAAGCTCCATGAATTGCATGTCCAATGCATCGCTTCTGCTTGTTGATCATAGACATATTCTTTCTGGCAACCTTAAATCCTTATACAGGGAAACACACAGCAGATAGGCAGACAGAGCAAGCCATAAAATGAATTGCAATAGACAGTACAAATTGCTGAGCAGCATAAACGCTTGCTTAAAAGGACAACTGTAGATTCCTTTGAGTACCTACAGCAGGGAAACACATTTTAAACTGTGATGTAAGGGAAAAAAAAACCTGCACAAAAATGACACATCATTAAGCTCCTAAGGGATGTTATCACCCACACCACGGGCAAAAATATTCCATGCTTTTACTGGTATCTCTTCCAAAATAAAACACAGATACCTGAATGCTATTCTGCCACTGTACTCTACATGGTGTTAAGCTGCTCTACCTGAATAGCGGATACTCTTCACACTAAGATGTAAGCTCAGAGAAAAATAAGGGTCTTGAGGATGCAAGCTGAGGATGGCAAGAGTTACAAAAAGCATTTAAAACAAAACCGTATAGACAAGAAGCAGACTAGAAGGAAACTCCTAGGCCACCTTCTGAAATTATTTTGCATTATAAAAGTACATTTCCTCACAATTTCCTCACACAGTATTTTCTTCGACCTTTCATTTAAAAGATCATGATGATATATTAATTATGAATTCAATATTGTATATTGACTATCCATTCATGCTTTGAGTTTAAAGGAATAAGTCTGACCTCGTTTAATGATCTCCTTAGTTTTGCAGTGTGTACACAGAGAATCAGCAAAACCTATTTCAGCATCCTCTGCTTAGCAATGAGCTTTACAGAAGACTGCACAGAGATACCTTCACTCCATTTTGGACAATTTCAGTTCACTGCATCCAACACTCTTCTCAATGGACAGAATATTCTCGTTCCAAGTAGTGTTACAGGTCTTGTGCAGAGCAAAAGGGAAAAAAGCTCCTTTTGCGGTCTGCATTTGTTCTCCAGCACCATAAAGCACTGTAGCTTAAGTTTCTCAGACACAACTGTTAACGCTTTAGAAAGGGCACATATGCAAAGGCTGAAGTGGACCACAGGAAAAGAGGGATTTATCTGATGCAAGGTTTGAGGAGATGAAAAATCCTCATGAGGACCGCTGACCAGTGATCAAGACAAAGAATAAACTAGAGTCATAAGACAGATACTTTCTTAAATAGAACTTTGCCAAAAAAATGCAATTGAATCTTATTACTTCTCAGGGTTATAATTTTACAAAGTAATGTATTATGGCAATCTTGCTGCTCTTCTTTTGAATATGAATGATGAGGTCATGATACCCACAGTCTCTTTTGCAACCCATTTTCCCAGCACAGAAACCCTAGAAGTAATAAGCAAGCTAGCTTACCAGGAGAGAGTCATCTGCAACGCATAACCAAAAGGGTTTGGAAACAATGATGTGAAGCTGGTGCTATTTTTTCAAGGAAATTATTACTCTTTCAAAATAATCATCAATTATAGTAGGATTACCAGGTCACTGCCATCAGCTTCAAAATCCCATTTTTCAAGATCTTTGGCAACAACGTAAACCTGAATTGCTTCTGATCTGCAAAGATATTAATCAAAATCTACAAGATTATTTGCAAGAATCATTCCTGATTTCTACAAGGTAATGGAGGAAAACAGTAGCAATACTCTATAGGTAAGAATGCATTTACAGGCCTAGTTACAAGACTAGTCTTTTGTTCTCCCTCATTCTAATTCTCAGTAAAAGATAAGAAACAAACATCTGTTGTCCTTAGAGACCACTTACCCACATTTTTCACTAGAAAAGATTTGCATACCTCATGATTACTGTGGATTTTATGAAGAATGTCAGGGGAAAAGAATATTTAACAACTAAGTTTCAGCTGTGGTTTCCATGTGAACCATGAAGCAGAGCACAGAGCGCCTGTGGACAAAGTGCCCCAAGTGGTACCAGGTGCAGGCAATATCAATGAAGCTGGATAGAAGAGGGACAACATCTCAGGCAGAAAGTGTCTGCACTGCTCTGAGAAGTGCCCTTGAGGTACTGTAAAGGGATGAACTCTTGGAAAACTGTGGATGTAGGAGCTGCAAAGATCACCATTGGGAATTATGATGGTAATGTGAATTTAGTGGGATTGTTCATGGTAGCTCTGAAGTGGGGAGCTAGGAGACCAGCAAGCCAGGCTGCTATAGAGAATCCAAAAACAGAAGAAAGATGGTTTATCTATCTGTGAATGGTGCCTGAAAGGAAAGAAGGCCTGCCTATGAGAAATCAGGGGTAGAAATGTTGCTGGAAGTGGCTATGAGCCGGGACTATGTGAAATAAAAACCAGCACCAGATTATTGGACTAACTGGCATGAAAGGCAGTAGCACTGCTGGCAGGATAAAGAAAATACAGAGTAGAAAGACATGACAGATACAAACAAGAAGAAAATATCTTGGTTGTGTGAAGCAGATAGGGAAGACAAATAAGCGAGGCTAAACACACAGAGGACTTGCAGGTTTATCATTTACCCACTTAGATATTTATCAGCTTAGATACCCTCAGGCCAGGCAGGTACAGGACTCTATCTAGTCTCAGGATGCAGGATATGCAGAGATTATGACTGAAACCCAGACACAAGTGAAATGAAGTTTTGCAGGAAAGTTTAGAAAGTTATGAGGAAGCTAGAAGACATCTGAGCTTTGGAAGTAAAGTGAGAGCAAGATTTCAAGTGGTATGTTAAACGAGAAGATAAAAATTAGGAGAAACCTAAATATGAGAAAACAGAGCTAAGGTCATGATGTAAACCTTTGAAGTCTTGTCAACAGCAGTGGTAGTTCCAGTGAGATACTGCAGGCAAAACTACTTCTTTCTCTCTAATAAAGATCAAAAGTGATGTCTATATGGCCAAGAAGTACAACTTTAGAAGTATCAAGCAATCAAATGTTTTAACAATAATTACTAAAAATTTGAGTTAAATAAATGACATGTACTTCAGAGGAAGACAGTATGTGTGCATTGAGTATAATTCCTATGTCCCTATAGTATTTATTTCATACAACACCTGAAACCCAAGTAACCTCGTAAAATAAGGTATCTGGTAGTCGTATTATTAACGTGAATTTTTGTTCTAAAGACTTAATATGAATAATTATTTACAATACAACACTTCAACATAAATTTTCTTTCCCTCATCGTATCTGATACCAGAGCCCCATGAAGGCTGCTCCCCTCTCTAACCACAGTTCTCAGACAAACTGCTTGTATGAACTGAGCAGACAGCTGGCAATGTCTCCCAGACCACAGGAAATATCAAGAGAGGGGACACCTGCCTCAAAAGTGGAGCCAAGAGATTTGTTTGCTCCTTCTGGTCTATGATCTTCAACAAGGAAGCTGTTGCATGTGTCCTGGGTCAAACAGGAAATGTCAGGGGTCCAGAGACTGCTGAGGTCTGTTCTGAGCCATTTCCCTACTTCATCCCACTGGTTCAACAGCTGTGTCTATAGCTTACAAGAGCCAGGCTGACTTCTGAAAGAGTTTGAATGTGATGATACAATCACCCTATTTTGTGAGTACTGATTTCAGGTTGAGAAGACAGTTTTTCTCCAGTTAGAAACAGCTGGGGAGAGAACTCTTGGAAGCAATTATAGTACCTTTGAAAAAGAAACCAAATTTAAAATATTATATACAAATATAAATAAATATTTATAGAAATATTTTGATATATTTAATAACATATAAAAAATGTTAATACAATAATGCTGACCTAAAGTAAGAAACATGCCATAATTGGTGTAATAAGGTATTTTCAATCTATCAGATAACGATGAGATAAATTATCCAGCCCTTACTCATGTTCAGACCATAATCCTACCTACACTGCAGTGCTTTTTACAAGAGTTAGGCAATTCTATAGTCTAAAAGTAAGCCATGTAACAAGTATTTAATCCTATCTGTGTGTAATGCTACTGAATAAAATGCTGTTGTTTTTCTTAACAGTTTGGAATTCCAAGAGATATATAATCCGAAACCCAGTTATAGTCACTGAAAAAGGTGCATCCGGCTTCCTAAAGGAAATCCTTCTGCTTTGGCTGAATGTTTGGGGAAGTCTTTCAAAGAGGACAACTTTTAAATAAGGATATCTATTTATCCTCTGAGTAATTTGGCCCTTCAAAGACCAAGGAGTTACTGGTTTTGAACCATTACTGATGTGAGTGACCAGATCTTTTGCAATTCCTTTGTAATTTTGTAATTCTTCTGCTTTACATTTGCAGTATCTTCCCTCAGGTGGTTTCAGACATTTATACACA